ACTTTTTGTTTATTAGAAAAAAAGTCGCATTCACCAAAGGTTATTAGTGACGAAACAAAATATAAATAATAAGAGTGAATAGCTACATATTATAGAAAATGTTTATGGATCTTAGATATTTAACTAAGAGCCTAAGAGTAGCATTTGGCACGATAGAAATACAAATTTTAGTGAAATGCTTGAGGAAAATAAATCTACCAATTACATTGATAAAAATTATAGAAAATACTCTTCTTCTTGTAGTTCCCTCTCCTATCGGAGGTTGGCTATCATCACATCTATCCATACCTTATTGTCAGCTGCTCTGAAAGGAACTAGTGAGCTGCAACTATACCACTTTCTTAGGTTTCTTAGCAGGAAATTCTTCGTCTTTCTATAAATCTTTTACCTTGGTTTTCTTGCATTATGAGCCTTAATATCTTATATTCCGCACCTCTGGTAATGTGGTCTAAATATTCCAGCTTTCTTGTATTGATGTGACCTCGCAATTCTTTTGTATCCTTCTTAATATATCTCATTTGTAACTCGTGGTCCATGGTTTTTTCAAAATCATCTTAGTACATCTTAAATAATTCCAATTTCTTTATATTATTTACTTTTATGTCCAGCTTTCCATTCCATACAACAAAGTCGAGAACACGTAGCATCTTAAAGCTCTTATCCTCAGCGCCAGAGGAAGATCTCGATTAACAAACATTGTTTTTATTTTTATAAATCCTTTTCTTGCAATTTCAATGCGAGTCCTCATTTCTCTACCTTGTCATTGTTTTCATTTACCCAGACTCCCAGATATTTGTAGATATTCACTCTTTCTACTCGTTTTCCCTCGATATCTAGCCCTTCTGCTGAACGTCGCTTAGAAATAATCATACACTTGGTTTTCTTAACATTCATTTGTAGTTCATATTTTATACTGACTTGATGTAATCTATTTACTAAGCGTTGTAGTGATTCTACACCAGGGGTACTCAGACTTGTAGTGTCTGCGATCTATCACAGAATAAATTATAATTATTTGTAAGACGTTGCCTAATTACTGAGTACCAACGATAAGCCTTATGTGAGATATTTGTCGTACCCATTTCGTGTTTTCTTCTTCTTCTTTGAGTACCATGCCCAAGTTTTAGGCGTGGGTTGCTTCTATGACGATTTGCCGATATCGTTCTCGATCTTGCGCGGTATGTAATAATTCATCTGCTGATAAGCCAGTCCATTGACGAAGGTTTCGGAGCCATGAGTATTTCTTCCTACCAATTTCTCTCATTGCCGTTGAGTATCAACTGCATTATACTCTATCTGCTTTCTCTCATTATATGCACCAGATATTCAAGTTTTTTTTATCATCTTTATTAAGCCACCTTCACTTTGACCTACTTTGTTCAAGGACATTTCTGAGCATTCTACGATATAACCACATCTCGAAGGCTTCTAATTTGTTCATCATGTTAACCTTCATAATCCAGGTTTCACATCCAAAGAGTAATACAGGATACACATACCATTTTAAAAACTTAATTCTCAGCTGTAAGTTCAGCTGAGAATTGCTCAGAATAAATCTAAGTTTCATAAATGCTGCTCTTGCAATTTCCATAAAAGTTTTAATTTCTTCATCCGGTTTTAGTGTCTCGTTTATCCAACATCCTAGCTATTTAAGATGGTTAACTTTGGTTCATTATTGACAATTAGTTGTATAGAGCGGAGGTCTTGTTGACTAACCACAAGTAACTTTGCCTTTGTTGTATTTATGCTTAGTCCGGTATTAGAGCATTCTCTAGTGACTCGATCAATAAGAAATTGAAGATCTTAGATACTTTCAGCCATTATCGCTGTGTCATCTGCATATCTGATGTTGTTAATAGTTTCTCCCCCGATTCGAACTCCACACTGCCCTTCTAAGGCTTCGTTAAGAATTATTTCTGAGTAAATGTTCAAGTTGGGGACAACACACCTTGTTTAACACCTCTTTGAATACAAATTTTGTGTATTTCTTTGCCGTCTACCCGAATAGAAGCTTCTTGATTCCAATGTAGATGTTGTAAAAGTCTCAGATCTTTATCATCTATCACAATCATTTCTAGATATTCAAGCAGCCTACCATGTTAAACCGCATCAAATGCATTCTCAAAATCTATAAAAAGACTAAAATTGATTTCTGTACTTCCCATGATCGTTGAAGTAGTGTTAGCATTGAAAACAAAGCTTCTCTTGTTCCAATCTTTCCCTAAAACCAAATTGTTTATTTCCCATTGTATCTTCACATTTCTGCTTGATTCTATTAAGAATTATCCTAAGAAGTAGCTTGAGAGAGTGACTCATAAGACTAATTTGTCTTTACATGATAATGTATTAGGTTTTTTTGGAAGTGGGATAAATGTAGACTACAACCATATTTGTGTTGTTCTGAAGCTATTTTCTGGTGGCATTTTAAAGTAATTACTATTTAAATGGGAATAAGCCACAATTAAAGGTTAAAACACGTTTATTGACGTTTCAATTTCCACTTCCGAAATCGTTCTCGAGAACAAGGTGTTATGTGTATACTCCAATCAAAATACATCCGACAGACGATTTTTTCTGACCATTGATCATTGTTTACAAGAAACGGGTACATTCCAACCGCATGTTGCTGGTGTTCTCGGACGCGACTAGTTCGCGCTCGAGACGCATCGCCCCGCCCCTCATTTTTCCTATTGATCCCTGACCTGGAAATCCCTATTTATCGCTACTTCAGCGTGTATAAAAATAGGTGATTTTAAACTTGGTGTTTTATTTCGACTATTTAGTCGTGTAAGAAATATCTTGCCTTTGTCAAGGCAAGTCATCGAAGAGCCACGAACCTGATGTTTATTTCGACTTGTAAGAACACTAAGTCATGTAAGAAATAGCTCGTCTTTTTCAAGACGAGCCCATCTACAGAGCACCCGGAGGCAAATGAAGGAGTTTAGACCCCTATTTGTTCCCCCGCGGTGACACTGGTAATAGTGATTGTCCAAGAATGGATGCAACGGATGAAGACATTTTAGAAATCATTGTAAGAAGACTAAGTCATGTAAGAAATAGCTCGTCTTTTTCAAGACGAGCTCATCTACAGAGCACCCGGAGGCAAATGAAGGAGTTTAGACCCCTATTTGTTCCCCCGCGGTGACACTGGTAATAGTGATTGTCCAAGAATGGATGCAACGGATGAAGACATTTTAGAAATCATTGAAGAAGTCCCTGGACAAAGTACAAGGGTAATAGCTGCTCAACTAAATGTTACTCACGTAAGGGTTTGGAGGCGTTTGAAGGATCAGCTGCTTAAACCCTATCACTTAACAATGGTCCAAGAGTTATTAGTTGAAGATTATCCTAAAAGGATTGGATTTTGCGATTGGTTGTTAATGGAAAACACTCGAAATGTTCATTTTATTAGAAATATTTTGTTTACCGCCGAGGTTACCTTCAGTAGAAATGGAATAACAAACCATCATATTGAACACATTTGGGCCGACGAAAATCCTCACGCCAAAAAAACGACTCATCACCAAAGGACTTTTAAAGTTAATGTTTGGGTAGGAATTGTGGATAACAATCTAATAGGCCCAGTATTTCTTCCCAACAATTTAAATGGTGATAATTATTTGCAGTTCTTGGCAAACGATTTACAAGAGTATTTGGAAGAAGCGAATATTGCAATAAGGCAAAATATGTGGTTTCTATAAGATAGCGCTACACCGCATTACAGTAATGAAGTCCGGGAATACCTTTGCAGGCAGTATCCAGTCGGTGGATTTTAAGGGGTCGTGATGCACCTATTTCTTGGCCACCCTGAACGCCAGGTCTTAACCCCATGGACTTTTGCTCTTGGGGGTTTATGAAAGTGAAAGTGTATTCTGTAACAAAAGAGGACGAAACAACAGTTGAGGGTTAGAATAATTGAAGCTGCAAATCAATTTCGTCAGAAAAATATTATTTTTCAGCGCATTCGGTTTTCCTTATTAAAACGATACCGAATGTGTATTGAAGAAAATGGGGGTCATTTTGAACATTTATTGCAATATCATATTTATAGAGGTTATAGACATTTTTTGTATTTGTTAATTCATTTAAGACAATTATTTAGTTGCACGTAATTTTTTAAAGGTTAATAAAAAGGGCCGTAACTCAATAAAAACTGTTTTTCTTTTAAAAGTGATAGGAGGCAAAAATTTTTAAAAATAATGTGTTAAACTAATGATGCCACAAAATTCATTTGATTTGAAAGTTCTCAAAAGTTTGGGGGGTTTAGGCTGCACATCCCTCTTAAAATTTTTCTGTGTGCTTAGATTTTGTTGTTTCTTTTGCATAAAAATGCTTTCAGAACAATAAAGTACTTAATGTGTTAATTTTTATTACAAAATGTCAAGTAGTTTAGGATTACGAGATAATGCAAAACAATAATTTTTATTTTGTAACTTCAAAGGGCTGTAACTCTTTTTGTGTACAATTTTGTACTAAGGTAAGTTGGATTCAATCAATTTATTTTTGTCTCGGAATGCGTGATTTTCTTTATGACATACCTTTTTGAAACACCCTGTATCCACGCGTGCCGTTTCCACTCCTAGTGAATGTTTATTGGCAGCAGTTTTGCATTATTTATAGGCAGCTGTGTTATTATCTTCCACAGACAAGGAACTTCTGCATTTAGTAATTTGACAGGAACATTTCCAGGACGTTATGATCCTTCATTCTGGGTAGCTTTCTGAACATTCTTTATTGTAACAGCTATATTTCTGAATGTCACTTCGTTGTGAAGTAGTGGATCTTCAGTTGTGTTCTCTGGACTGTTGTACAACTAAAAGATGTTTATAACGTGTTTTTCATTCTCGTTAATACATTAAATCACTGATTGTTTTGATTTTATGGTTTCTTTTTGAGCTTTTTACATTAAAAAAGCTTGTTTTGAATTGCCCCCTTTAATTATTTTTTCACTATATATTCTAAATTACTCAAATTAATTTGTTAAATCAAAAACACTACAGTTATTGCTTTATCATTTTATTTTATAAAACTGATTGTTAATTTACATTGTTTTAACTATCACAATTTTGTTCATCAGATCTAAAGATAAAAGCCAATTGAAATATTCTAAAACATTGCAAACGAGTTTAAGCTACCAAAGGTCCTACACATGTACAGCTGGCTCCAGCAGCGCAGTATCCCGATTTAAAGCCTTGGTTTCTGCAGGAAAGTCTACATTCCAGATTAACACATGCCAGGTTTGGATTCTTTTCTTTGACGAGGTCAACAACTTGTTCTGTAAAGTAATAAAAAATTAATAAAAATTAAATTTATTAAATCTTATCTGATTTAAATAAGAACTCCTTCAGCATGATCTTAATATACTCATCGTGATGGACCAGATCAGGTGAGTGAGCAGTATATTCGACGTCTGCTCCCAACAAAACAAATGATATCCAACAAGTTGGATGAAAAACGTCATATAAAGAAAACTAGAAACCAGACAGACATTTCCACAGGCTTCAGGCTGTTTCTGATATGGTTATTAAATATCATTTGAAAATGTCTAGCTAAACCTAAAATATTGTAGAAAATTATAAATATTTATTATTTTCATCACTAAATAATCATAACTATCTAGAAAAAGAATAATATATTAAATATCCACAATGATGGAACTAAACCCAAGTGGATGGGTAGTAAAAAATCAATTATTATACTCATTGAATATGTTTTATCTACTAATCACATTACCTGGGCTCAATGGTGCTTGTTCTTCTTGGGCGTAAGCGCAGAAAGCGAGTGCCAACACCAAAAATGCAATTGTGAATTTCATTTTTTGAATACTATTAATTTTCGTTTAGCCAAAAGTTGACTTATTCGTTAAAATTGAAATAATAAAAATGTAAAAACAGTTAATGAATATATACCTAGAAAGTTGTTTATACAGGCCTTAATAGAATGCCAAATATTGGCAGAGTGTGCATACCAGCAGTTCTCGTGTAAAAAACAAAAATTACGAAAAGTTTACCGAAAGATTTGGTTTATATTTTAATATTACATATAATTTACATAAAAACTGTTGCAGATAAAAACAATTAGTGATTTGTAGAAGTACATAATAAAATTAATAGAACATTCCATCATTGGTGGAATATTATTCGGATTTACCGTTTGCTAATTGTACCAGTATTTGTTTATATCGTAATATATGACGTTGAGTTTTGTAATACTAAATAGGGATTTATGTAGCACACTATCATAAAAAGTTTCATTCCATTTATTATTTCAAAATACTTTTCCTTAAAATACAAATTTATTTGAAATACATTAAAAAAAAAAATAAAATTTTGGGTACACAGGCATCTATATTAAATCAGTGTGGGTTTTAGGCCATTATTTTTATTTTTTACGCACAACAGACCGTTAAGGCCTAGGGCATTTTTTTACAACATAATCCTAATATTATACTAATTACAATTATTTTAAACACAACTTTAACTTAAATACGTATATATAACATTCTTAACTACTCTGAAGGACCTGGTGTACCATATTTCTCATTCGCTTCTATTTTGTGCTTTTATTTTCCAGTCCCTCACCTTCACGTGTTTAAGGTCTTTCTTGCTTTACTAATCCACCTCGTTCTGGGTCTACCTCTTCTTTTGGGGCCGATTAATTTTCTGGTTATTACTAGTTTAGGCATTTGTTTGCTGCCATTTTTCCACATGTTCCAACCATCTGATTCTTTGTGCCTTGACGAACTTGGTAATGGTAGGTTCTTTGTATAAAGCCATTAATTCATTGTTGGTTCTTCTCTCCCAACCATCTTCTGTCTTCCGTCCTCCGAATATGCGTCTCAATATTTTCCTTTCCCATCTTTCCAGAGTATCCTCTTCCTTCTTATTTAATGTCCATGTCTCACCGGCATATGTTACTGTGGGTCGAATTACTGTTTTATATATTCTGAGTTTACCTTGTCTAGAAACGTATTTTGAGTTCAGTAGGGCTCTTAAACTACCTAATTTTTTATTCCCTTTTGCTATTTCTGGCTTCGAGCTCCATTTCTCTTTTCCATTTTCATCGAAAACTACACCCAGGTATTCAAATTTGTCCACCCTTTTAAAACTATAGCTTTTACCACTTACTGACCTCACACTAAAGTCTTCTTTTTCCCTTCTGTCCCTCCATGATCATATATTTGGTTTTGTTCTTCATTTAGTTCCAATCCGAAATTTCTGTGCTTCTTCGATGATTTTTCTTCACAACTCTTCTTAATTCTTTCTCGGTTTTTGCTAGGATCGTTAGATCGTCAGCAAATGCCAAGCACTGGTGCTCATTTTTCATGATCGTTTCTTCCACCTTCATGCTGCATTTTCTGATTACAGTTTCTAACACTAAGTTGAATAATGTAGTGGATAAAGGATCTCCCTGTCTCAAGCCTTTTGCAACCGTAAATTGATCTGATATGTGACCTGCCAAGCAATTTCACACGTAGAGTTATTAAGTGTCATTTTAACTAGCCGGATCAGTTTCTTTGGTATACCCAAATGTTCCATTGCTCGATACATTTTGACTCTATCGACTCTATCATATGCTTGTCTAAAATCCACAAACAAAACATGCAGGGAACTTTACCTTCATAACAAGTCGTTTGTGTCTCCTTTAATGAGAAGATTTGTTCTACAGTAGATCTGTCCTTTCTAAAACCCTCATACCACTCCGATGGTATTACTTCCTTTTCCCATACTTGCACTAGTAGCTGATATATTTTTCTTTGTAGTTGTTCTCCCACCAAACTTAATCATTTCTATGCATATGTCATTTTTACCAGGACTTCTGTTATTTTCATTTCTTGTATTGCTGTCACCACCTCCTCCTCTGTAGGCTGCCTTTGTAACTATCGCATCTTCTCCAACTGTCCAGTTGTCTACTGCTTCTTGATCCTCCTCACCATTTAATAATTCTTCAAAATGTTTTTCCATTCCGTCATTATTTCTGCCGGATCGCTAATTAAATTTCCGTCTTTACCTTTCATATAACTACAGTGGCTTTGGTAACCTTTTCCATCTTTTTAACTTCTTGATAGAACGACCTCACCTCTTTGTTTTTAAACTTCTCTTCTATCTCTTTTAATTTCAACTCATTGTGGTTTCTCTTTTTCCTTCTACACAGAGCTTTCAATCTTCCTCAGAAAAATTTATCATTCTTGTTTTTTACACTCTCTATTATCTGTTAATATTTGTTGTAGATTTTTCTTCTTTTCCTTTTGGCTATCGCCTGACACTCTTCGTCTAACCAATCTTTGTTTGTACTTCTCTTGGAGTCGCACTCAACTATTTTCTCGCTAGCTTCTCCTACGGCAGTTTTAATTTGTTCCCAGGCTTGATCTGTCTGTAAATTTTGGATTTTGGGTTTTAGGCCATTAACATATATTTATTTGCCTTTGTTTTCGCTTCTGTATCCTTAATCTTTAAAGAATTCAAAGCAACTACAAGATAATACAGAAGTCAGAATGGCGACCCTACTAACAACAAAGAAAGATGTTATTGATATAGATAGGTAGAATATCTTAATAGGCACTTAATATAGAGGAAAAAGAAGAAAATATGGCAGACGAAATAATGTGGGAGGGAAACACGACGAGAGAAAGAGGACCCCAACAATTCTTGAAGTTAAGATGCGTTAAAAACTAGCCAGAACATATCACCCTGAATAGATCATTTCACAACTGAACTATATAAAGAAGGTGGCCATAATACCATAATGACATTACAGCAGCTTATAAAAGAAATTATAGATACATAAATTTCTCCTTATGATTGAATATTGGAATACTTTGCAAACATATACAAAAAAGGCTTTGAATGCTTTAACCACAGAAGAATTACGCTTCTAAATGCAGTGTCTAATTTTTTCCGCAGTACTATGTGACCGTCATGGACCATATGTTAGAACGGTTAGTAGGAAAATACCAGGCTGGTTTCAGTGGTGGAATTCATCAGGTTGCAACCTGAAACCAAATTTTGGAAAAAAACAAAACACGAATATGGCATGATACTCATTAAATATTTATATACTACAAAGCAGCCTACGATTTGTGAATAAAAGAGAATGTTTCAAAGCAATGAAATAGTTGAGGAACACCAAATTAGTTAGTAAATTTAAAACAACTAACTCTTATAAAAGTTGAATGTGAAGTATGAATTCAGGGGGGGACTGTGCTGAAGCTTTTAAAACAAATATAGGCTGTGCCAGGGAGACCCTCTCTCCCATATATTGTTTAATCTGGCTCTGTAAAAAGTAATACGTACATAACAAAACGAAGTTTATGAAAATAAGCATGCAACCACAATCTACGACCCCTTGTTATAGAAAACGACGCCATTGAAGCAGTGAACGAATTTGTATATTTAGGAGTGCCCTTAACACTGAAATTAATACTAAGGTTTTAATAGAGTAATTAATAGCGTTAAACGCAGAATTTTTACGGCTAAACAGATCTTGTGCACAATCTTCTCTTAAATTCACATTCCATCGAGAATACAAAATAAAACTCTACAAAACTATAATACGTCAGTCCTCAACATAAAGGTTCAGAGGACATGATCTCTACAAAAAAATAATAGAAACTGTTAGGATGTTTTGATAGAAAAGAAAAGCAAAAAGTGAATCTATGGAGCAGTGAATGATACTGGAGTGCAAAGAAGATGATACATTTTCTAACGATAGGACGTCTAATGTGGATAAGGCATGTAATGCGAATGGAACGAAATGACCCAGCTAGCTAAAACGCTACTTGATAGGCACATTGACCAGAGAAGAGAGAAGACCAGAACAAAGTTTTTTGATAACATCGATAAAGAAATGAAAAAAATATGAGAATACGTGCTTGGCGAAGAAAAGGCGATGGATAGGGGACGACTGGAGAAAACATTCTTGAGGAGGCTAGGAACCCAACGAAGAGGCTGTAAAGCCAAAATGATGATAATGATCTTTGATCTTTAATCGATAAAATATTTATTACATAGTTTATTTTTTGTCAAACACTGATAATGGTTTCTTATCCAGATATACTCTTCTTTTATTTATATATTAGCTCTTGTGAATATCGTATTTGGTATATTTATGTAAGAATGGGTAAATTCACTGGATCTAGTTGGGATTTAAAAATTCTTCTTCGTTTTCTTTTTATATAGACATGACTGTTCTATTTTTAATGTGCCTCAGGAAAGTTATCGTTCCATCATTTTTCATGGCTCTTCCTTAGCGATCGTCTTCTATTGGGGAACCGTCTCTTGCCGTCTTTACTATCTATTGTTGTTATTCGGCTTACAATATCGTTCCCTTCTACTCTTCTATTTCTTTACCAGTTCTGGATGTTCTTCACGTTGCATTACGTTCGTATATCTGTACTTCTCTCTTTGTCTTATAGTGTCTTACCAACAATTTTTCTAAGTGTTTTCATCGCATGCTGTTTCTTCTGGTCCTCTCTGTGTAGGTCTTATTTCTGCGCGTATATTATTATTGTTGATGGACTGTTTTGTAAATTTTGCCTTTTATTCCTTTTGCTGTTTGCCTTATTCACTTGATCTTAAACTTCAGTTTCGAGCTTTCCGTAGCTAGATAATGTGATTCCTAGATATTTAAACTCCATCACTTGTTCTATTATCTGACCGTCAGCTCCAATTTACATCTTAGTAACTTTGGTTTTAGATATTGCGGAAACTTTAATTTTTTTATGATGTAGTTTGATTTACCTTTAAATTTTATTATTATCCGCAATTCTCCTTAATGAATCAAATTCCCATTCTAGATTTGTCATTTTTTGTTTTGTAGTAATTTTTTAGATCCTCTCGTTTTTTCCTGTTGTTATTTGTATGTCGTCTATGTATCTTATGTAATTTATGTCTAAGGAAGTCTGTTATTTA